ACTCAGAAAGATCTCGGAGTTTGGGTTGCAGACAGCCTAAAGCCTTCTACACAATGCTGTAAGGCGGCCAAGGCCGCAACTTCAATGCCATATGCCATCAAGCGGGCATTCGTAGTTTTCGATGAAGACTGCTTCACCAAAGTCTTCGGCACGTTTATAAGGCCCCATCTCGAATATGCAATTCGGGCCTGGAGACCGTGGACGCACCAGGATTACGATCTGCTCGAAAGGGTGCAGAGGCGAGCCACAAAATTAGTAAGAGGTCAAAGTGCACTGCCATACGAGATCCGCTTAACTAACCTTAATCTCTATCCTCTGAGTTATAGGCAGTTGCGCGGAGACATGATACAAACTTTCTGTATCGTGCGCGGCTTGGATTGTGCCCTTCGGCGCGATGACTTTTTCCAACTCGCCACTACAACTCACCTCCGGGGACATCCCTTCAAGCTACGTGTGCCACAGGGTAGACTGAATGTGAGAAAATATTTCTTCTCCAACCGTGTCGTGGAACCGTGGAATAACCTGCCCGAGACGGTTATTATGTCTCAATCTGTGGAGACATTTAAATGTCGCCTTGACAGATATATGCTGCAGCAACAAGCGGACTATGTGACTTTTTAACCATGTGACTAGTGACATATGTGAATCAATGTATGCATTCACTTAATGCTGTAGTTTCTTAACATTTTTGCTTGTTTATCGATTTTTTATGTACAAATAGGGAGTTCAAAGGCGTAAGCCTATTTCCCTCAAATACACTGACTGACTGACTGAATACAGGAAACTGGTCGCAACATCAATTGGCCGAGCAGATCGAGGAACATTTTTTAGCAGGAAGTTGTAAGAACGCTTCTGTCTATCACTAGATTCACTGGCGATCAGGTGAACAAGTGAGTCGAGACGCCTACATTCTTCAGAGGGAATATCGGAGATGTTCCCGTCGAATAAATGTCCAAGAATTGTCAGCAAAGAGCCAAACTTTAGCATAAAGTCATTGCAGTGGTCAAGTGCAGACAGATTAAGCTGCCGACCAATTACAACGGGTGACGACTGACTAGTAATATCATCTGACTTAGATTTAGATAAAGCTTCTGACTTACGTTTAGTTAGGCCATGTTTACTTACAAGAGCCGAGAGCTTACGTCGACCAGTGACTTTTGGTCACATCTTGTCTCGAGGCAATTTGTGATTAAGAGAACTTCTGGCAGACAAGTTGACTGAATTTCAGCTAGGGGCTAACGATGTAAAAATAAATTACAACAGTTAGAGAGAAATCGGATGCACAAAATGAGAATTGCAAAGTGCGATTAGTGAACAACGGGCATAGATTAGCAAAACTCGAAAGGAGATGGCAGCGGGCAGTTCTTAGAGAAAAGGCCTGTATTTAAGGAAATTCAACCAAAAAACGGGTACTAAAATCGTTAGATCTCACAGAAAAACCACTAAAAACAATATCCTCCACTTATCTTCAAATTTAAAACCAGCGGCTTGACCTTGACCTGTAATTTGTCGTCGATGCCCTGCTACCTTTCTTGTATAGCCGAGTAATATGTGCCATTCCCTGATCGATAAGGAGTGTTCCATTCTCTCCGTCTAAATGTCGTTATATGTGTTTTGGACCTGATAGGCTACCCCAACCAGTGGTCTCTCAAGGCACACCTATGACTGAATGTACCACCATCAAGGACTTAGGTTTAAGCTACACTAGTAATCTTGATCTCTCGCCACACGCTGACAGAATTACAGCCAAAGCTGCCCAGATTTGTGGCTTTATTTCTTACAATTTATATCTTCCTTAAATTAAATTAATGCTCTATCGTATGTTTGTACTTCCCATTCTCGAGTATTTTTGCCCATTGTTTGGTTTGATGAATGAAGCCAGTCGTTTAAAAACTTAAAATGTCCAAAGACGTTTTTCTAAAAAACGTTCAGATAAGGAACATCCCAATATTTCCTACTCAGATAGATGCCAGCTAATTAAACTAAAATTTTTATGGGTTGGAAGACTAGAAGCAGGTTTCTGTCTCCTTTTTCGCATTAATCATAGTTCAAATTTTCCTCGGACTTCAGCACTCACCCCTAGTAGTCGCCCATACAATCTACGCAATTCGTCCATGATTATACCTCCTCCAGCGTCCTCCACTTCTAAGCGCTCCCTTTTTTTCGCTTCCAGATATACTTTCCTCTGGAATAACCTTCCAATAAATATAAGATCTTCAGAAAATCTACACACATTTAAGAGAAGGCTACGCCTTTATCTGAATACTGACTCGATAAAAACTTTTATTTTCCTCATCCTTCCCAGACAACTTTTTCTACGACACCGAGAAAGGGCCACCGGGAATTTAATATGCCGCCATTAAATTTCCGTATCTGTTCACATTTCCTTCCTTTGTGAGTAATCTCGCTTCCTAAGATCCCTCACCAGGAATGTTAATTTTTCCAATTTTTCGGTTCATGCATCGTGCCCTCACAGAATGCGCTCCATCGACACTCTTGGTGAAGCCTTCTGTGTTCGCCATATACTAATAGCGTGGTCGCATCTCCCTTGCCCCATCCTCGGATGGACTCTGTTGAATGTAACCGACCGCATCTGGGTTCCTATCAGCTCGAGAGTAGTTTTCAATTTCGCCACTTATTTGACTTATTCAAGGCCACATACAGGCCGGTACTGACCGACCCGCCTACTTACCCCTGTATGAAATCCGTTATACAATGCCATAAACAGCTGACATTTATTTCGGCCCTGTTGATGTCCGACTATAATCCATTCTATACCGCCACATGCAGGCCAGTCCTGCCCGCATTTTTCTGATTCTATTTTATCGAGGGTTTTTTTTCTCCTGTTAAATTAATTCAATCATTTTTTGATTTTCAAATGGAGTTTTTTTTCACCCCTCGTTCATCATTTTGCTTAACGGACTTCTAATCTCAAAAACAATGTATTGCACTTTGTACAGATTTGGTCTACCTCGTCTAAAATTCACATGTAAATTTATTTTTACTTGCTTAGATAGGACCCCGACGGGTCTTTAATAAAATAAATAAATAACTAAATCTCTGCATCCCGAAAACATGCGTTTTTGTTTAATTCACAATTTTCTTCCTTTATCAATTCATACATGGCCTCAGTTGCTACTAAGAGCGAGTCGTCGCTTTAAATTTGAGGTGATCAGAAACTTAACGTCGTACCAATAATTATACTTTGGGAACGTTTCTCTCCAATACTTCAGAATTGCACTGAGCACCGTCCGCAGAAAATCCTTTTGTTTATGCGTTTTGCGTGGGTCTTCCGATAATCGGAATACACACCAGCTGCCATTGAATCGAATCTATCAAACATTATACATAAATGAACAAAAAATACCTCATGCTCCTTTAATTCAATCCGAAGAACCTCCTGAAATTTAATTTGTCTTGGAGTTCTTTTTTGCTGCAGCTCAAGACATTTTAGCTCGTCAAGCAGACGCTATAGAGAGCAGGATTCAATATGGATCAAACAGCTTTACAAGTTGGCATTCAAGATGGTCGCCTTCGTAGTCAACATTGAATTTCAATGGCATCTCAGACTCCATTTTTGCCTAGAACTTGTTCGGCAGTATGTCTATGAACTATAGCAGAATTGCAGATAAAATAAACTTAATAACCAGTCAAGACGATGCCAGTATTCAATAAAGAACAAGCGACTGGTGGGTAAATCTCATGAATATTTGAAGTATTTAAACAAATTACGGGGAGAGTTGGGAAAAAATTTAGAACTCCGTGATTTCACTCTGGCCACCCTGGATATAATACGATACTGATATCCTCGAACAGGCAAAATGCAGTACAAGGATGATAGTCGACTTTTATAAGAATCTATCGGATCAGAATAAGCCAATAGAGCTTGACCCATGCCTTCTACCTTACATGTAGCTAAGGTGTGCCCTGTCTTGGATGTTCCGGAACACCTGCGATCATGGTAACTTTCTAAAAACGCCGGACCTCCCTTTGTTTACGTGGACAACTCGCCTACTCGTTCGTCCCTGCAAGGTCAAGGGAAAACAAACGCCAATATGTAGCAGGAAATACTTTTTCAACCAAAAGGCATTTCGATCACGATACTCTCTACCAATTGTGATGATGTAGGCCAAAACAATCTTTGCGTTTCAAAGAGAACTTGAGTATGTAATTGTTGATAAGTATCGCTTTTTACAGGACGATTACATGCGACCAGCCATGTAAGACTTTCCGTGACCGGCACACCTACCGCACTTTGTCACAGTAAACTAAAACACTCATTTTTACTCTGCCACAATATAAAACTAAGACATTCCAAATGTTTGTGATTGTAGACTGAGCAGAATTATCCAAACTTGATTCTTATTAATAAGTTCATCAAGGATCCTGCCTGTAACCCCTCAAATACATACTTACTGGAGTTCCTAACTGAAACGATCGCCTATGTTTCGGAAATCGAAAGACAAGAGAAGAGCACAACGGAATTATTCTGCGCCCCAACTGGGACTATTTCGACTTGGTTACCATTTCACAGTTACGGTCTCTGACATTGATCGTGGAACCGTACGTACAGAATTGCTTTGTGCATTTTTGGAATATTTTTTCTCGCATCGAAATTCGCCAGGAACCTGGATTAAGTGCAGTCTGTTTGTCAGCACGGTCCAACTGACTACACATCAGAGTACGCAACCAAATCACGGCTATACAGCCTAGAAAACCGATCGCTCACGATACCCCAAGGTCTGCAATTATTCAAGTTCCACGAGATCTGCAAAGAGCCAAGGCGCTTCTGATAAAATTCTACAAAATGTATCGGATTTTTAGTATTTAATCGCTTATTGAATTTCGAATACTTACTTTACTTCGTCATATACAAGCCGACGTATTCGTTATAACATCGAAAGCGAAAGTATACATATTATATCATGTCGAAGTTTATGGAGTCTCAGCAAGCTAACTGTAACAGCACGGCCATCGACGACGCCTCGCTGGAAGATAAGTCTGGTGAGATGTCCTTCGCATCCAGAACCTGTGCTCGCTCTAACTGCGCTTCCAACCAACGACCAGCAAAACGTGCAAAAGAGTGATTACCGCAAAAAGCGTGAGGTTCGAAGACGAGCCTTGTGTTGGGTGCGCATATATCCAAATCAAAGTAGAAAAACTCGGAAAGGAGCTTGCTGATTTAAGGACGCTCGTGAAACAGGCCCTAGAAGACCAGAACATGTCCAGTGTTAGTGTCCCCAAAACGAAGAGCAAAACGCAAAAACGCTTAAAATATCTCCTCAGTGGCATCTTCAAACACGAATAGCAACTCAGTAGCCAAAACCGCAGACGCCGGTAACAGCAGGACAACGAAAACGAAGTCCCCGATAAGGTCAGACTCTATTCCCACGAAGATGTCTTAAGCGATGTCACAAAAAAATTACCTGGCGCGGAAGCTATCTCGCCTAAGCCTCTTGCAGCAAGTTACGGGATTTCTCTTCTGCCTGGAGACGATATACCAGGGTCATCCAGTCTACTTTTGCCCTCTTGTTCTGTCAACCAACCCGAGCGCTCTACAGAGCACGTATTTGAATTCAAAAACATGAACCCGTGGGTAGAGGGGAGAGGGAAACGCCATGACAGGAGTCTGAAGTCACAGCCAGACCTGATGTTTTGCTCGCGACAGTCGGTAGACAGCAAAAGTGTGCGTCCAAGCGACGACTCCGAAAATTGTCCTCGTCCACATGCAGCGAATTCACCGGAAAGACAAAGTAAGGAGGACCATGCTCGCCAGCAGTGTCTGGTTATTAAGTGTTTGCGGAAATCTAATGCAGTCAGACCTGAACACCGTGTCTCGGAGTACCTCAACACTTTTCATGGTCTATTAAATCATTTACTACGGGCAGACATGGAAACAAAGGTTCTGATGGCATTACAGATAGGAAAGCGGAGTGAAGACAGGAAACCAGCACTACCGCCTCGCCGTCTCAATGTTATGCTGGAGAACAAAAAGCAAATCAAGTTGATATTTTCTAAAAAAAACCGACCTCAGAAACACACACAAACGGGTTTTTTCAACCGGACCATTCACCAGCAGAACGGCTTAAACGCCGGGAACTTGTCTTGGAGTTAAAATCCATACTGAAGGGTTGCGAACACAATCTGGCTATCTTCAAAGGGAAGGTTGTTCGGAGATATATGCCATTTCAGTGGAACCAGCCAGTAATTCTAAGAACGACGGCAGCTACCAGCTAACACAGATACCTTCGTTGAACCACCTGTTCAAGGCGGCAACACAAATAAGCGAATAATGTCCACTGATCTGACTGAAGCAACGCATATAAATGGAACCCATCAGCCCAGAATACACGGCGTTCGAGATAACGGTGTAAAGCTCGAAACAGTAACAAATGCAACGGGAAATTCAGCTAGTGCAAAACTGAGGTGTTTGTACACGAATGCCCAAAGTTAAAACTTTGCCTTGCCGAGCTGTCTCCAGATGTTTTAGCAGTAACTGAGACCTGACTGTCCGGAAATACTAGCGATAGTGAAGTAGCCTTGCGTGGATACCAAATTTATTGGAGGAACAGGGAACATCGTCAGGGTGGTGGTATAGTTGTGTATGTGAATGAGGGCCTGGCAGTGTCAGAAAACACCACCAAGTTTGCGTGCGGCAGAGTAGCTATTTGGTTGACCATCAAGGCTACCGATTCCCCGTGTCTTGATGTCCGCACTGCCTACCGACCATCTCGTACAGACCAAATCGCCGCCACTCAGCTTTTGAAGCAATTGGAGAAATTCTCCTGTCGATCTAACATCATGATCATGGGCGACATAAACGCACCAGGAACATAATGGAATACCCTCCAAGCGCCAGGTCCAAAATCGTCATTCGATTACCCTCTGCCGAACACAACAATAAATGCGTCCCTCACACAACATGTAGTATTCCCAACGAGAACACATGAAGGACAAAGGGCAAACTGCCTGGGTCTGGTTTTTACAAAAACACCAGACAGCATAGACGAGATCACCTCCATGCCGCCCCTTGGCCGATGTGATCATGTAGTGCTTACGTGGGATTATTCGTTACTCTCTATTTCGTATACTCCAGACCAAGAAGACGGAATGTTTGGCGAGGCGACTTCAATCAGATGAGGACAGACTTAGCCTGTCTAAACTGGGGCTCATTGTTTACGGGAAATGCCAACAATGACTGGGAGTTGTTCAAGGATGTCCTTCTACAGCCCAACAATCGCTGCCCACTGACTAGTGTAAGACTGAACAAACGCCCTGGGTGGCTAAATAGAAACCTTAAGAAAGAAATCAACAGGAAGCAAAAATTGTGGAGAAAATACTGCGTCACTCGGCAAGTTGAATATTTCAACACCTACAAGACACAGAGGAACAAACTGAGAAAAATGTTTGTAAAAACACGGCGGTAATTCGAGAAGAAATTGCTACAAAAAGCAACTCAGAACTCAAAGTTACTCTACAGTTATCTCCGAAGAAGTGCAAGGAACAGGCATCATATCCCCTTAATAAGGACTACTGATGGCGTTGAAATTGCTGGTAGTAGGGATAAAGATGCGTATTTTTCACAGTTTTTTTAATCAGTCCACACAAACAAGACAAGGTTCCTTCCTTCATCCACAGAAGAACTGCCGACCCCAAGCGTCAGTGATATACTCTGCTCAGAAGGCATTGTCCGAAATGAGTGAGAGGCATTGAACGAATCGAAGTCGCCAGGACCAGACGAGATTCCACCCAAGCTTCTCAACGAACTTGTCAGTGAGCTTTCTGTGCCTTTGTCGATGCTCTTTCAAACGTAATTTGACACCGGAACACTTCCTCTCGATCGAAAGCTCTCGCATATTACTCCGCTACACAAAGGAGGTAACAGGGCAGAGATGACAAATTACAGGCCCATAAGCTTGACATGCACTCTCTGCAAAGTTATGGAAAGGATCATAAAGAGTGAACTGATGCAGTTCTTGGAACTTCACGGCCCGCTATCGAACTGGCAGTATGGGTTCCGAAAAGGAAGATCCTGCACGACAAACTTGCTGCAGTCTCTCTAGAGCTGGACCCGAGCTCTCGACGACAGGCACGCCGTCCATATGGTCTTCATCGACTTCCAGAAGGCGTTCGACACTGTGTCACACCAGAGGCTCTTACATAAAATTAAAAAATAGGGATCAGTGGCAACTTCCTTTAATGGGTCAAAAACTTCCTTATGGGTCGACATAAGATCAAGGGAAGTCAGATCCTGCAATGGTCAAGAGTGGTGTCCCCCAGGGTTCAGTACTGTGACCCATTTTATTCCTCATATACGTGGATGATGTCGCAAGAGCTTTAGACTGCGAAGTAGCAATGTTTGACGATGACATGAAGATATGGAGTGTAATTCGGGGTCCTGCCGACGAAGACAGACTGCAGATGAACTTGAATCGGTTGGAGGAGTGGTCAAACTGTTGGCTCCTGCGGTTCAATGTTGCCAAATGTAGCATACTTCGCCTAGGCAACACAGCCAGATCCGCCAGCACAAGAGACTACTTTCTGAGCAGCGCAGCCCTACAAGAGGTCGAAGCCC